GCATATTAGGCCGACCCCAAATAATTGGGATAAGGTGTACCATAAAACGAGCAATAAACGTAAACTGCGTCATCATAGATATCTAGAAAAATTTTATCATATCTATTAATTTTCTTTTAATGGTTTCTCTTTAAAAATCGATCCAACTAAAAAGACAATATTTTTATGAAGGTAATAAGAAAATTAACAAACATGAATCTTTGAAAATATTATAGGTACTTAGGTACTCCTTTTTTGAGCTGTCGTGGGTATTAATCATTTTCCGGATTTTGCAAAACTACATTTTAATATATACATTTATATTTAATAGCAAAATGGAACAAAATCAACGGGGAGCATATACATAATTTGGGTGTTTATAAATTATTTTATTATTGGGAAGGTTTTTTTCGGAGTTCTGTTTATAATGTGATACATTATTTTTTTAAACGACTTTTAACTAAAAATCGAATACTAGTAAATCATAGTTAAGTTAAATAAATAAAAGTTTTATTAATTATTATTAATAAATATTTTTTTTTACTAGTACACTTTAAATTTTTATACAGCATAGGACGTTAAGTAGTACAATAACAATAATTAAACCCGAATCGGTCACACCCATTTAATGATGTATCATTGATTGGGACAGATTGAAGCAAACTTTCCTCGAAGGAAGTGCTGGTGGGCGCCAAAAATAGCGTTTCCGTTGCGGAGCCACTAAGTAGGAAGTCGAATAACACTCTACAGAACAGTTTTCCGGCCGCCCACAGCGGACAGTCGCCACTCTTATTGAGTTTACAACGCACTTATGAGCCGTCGGCCTACACGTCGTCTCTTAGTCGAATTAAATTGCTCATTCTACATCATCGACTAGTGACAATTTGATTAATTCCTATTGCCGTATTAAGCAGAGAAGCGCTTTGTCCATTTGGTGAACTTAAAATTATCAACTCCAAAACTTTCACAATGCATGATTCATGGTTTTTAAGAGGTGGAATCAACGTGATTATTTAGGTAAAACATTATAATTCATCTAGTTATCTCGACGTTTCGGATTTTAAAAATAACGGATTTAATTTGTCTTTAGCGCCTCCATAAATTTAAAATAGGTACAAATATTATTCTGTCTTTATACAGTACAATATCTTGTATTTAGAATATACAGCGTTATATGTATTTATGTTATTGTATATAAGTGCCAACAACTAGAAGTTATAAAATACTTATGTACGTATAATGTAGATAATATGGGTATCATATGTATCTTATTTATAAATTACATTTTTTTTTAAATTTAATATTGTTTTTGTTTTTCTATTTATTTGCAATTCACGCTCCATCGTCAAATCCGCTATTTACATCTACCTAGGTGTATTAAAATTTAATAAATAAATAAGTTTATATAACTAATAGATGTCTACGTCTGTTTTCAAACTGACATCATATTTTCAGTTTCCTCAAATGATAGAGTTAGTAAAATTAATAAAATGAAAGACGAGAATATGTAATACTACTAATATAATACGTTAATATCTACCTACTGCATTAAACGCAAATAGAGGTAAACTCAAATGAAGAATGTACGTAAGTGATGTTATTTTCCTTGTAAGTTGTTACGCATATTTTCCTGTTTAAAACATATAACCAAAATCGAACTTACAAAGCAGTTCTCCTAATCCTACATTTTTTATTACTCAATATTAGTAGGTCATAATGTGATATTACTGAAATAATCATTATATTAAATTAGATAAAATTGTAAAATCTGTTTCAAAATAACAAATTCATAGCGCAATATCCGAAGAGCAGGATTATAATATCCTGAACATCATAACAACCCAATAATGTAATTGACGCGAATCTCTCTGTATAGAAGAAAGATATTCGACTACAGTTATTACCCATATAATACAATTAAACATATAATACAACCCACAAATATTATTTCTTTTAAAGTTTGTATAAAACAATTTTAAATCACAAAATAATTATTGGAATATTACTTATATTACCTAAAAATGTATATTATTAATTATCCTCTATTGTATTTGTAATTTTCGTACATGTATTATTGTTATCTAATAGAGGAAGTACAGGATATAATTATTTATAGTTACTATAACGCTTTGACCTCAGTTGAATCCGATTTAGATTATCTTTCATGGGGCATTATATTTTAGTTCTATCATCGCATTTTACTCTTCTTGGAACGTAGAGAGACACATTGTTGTTTACTCAATTAGCATACGACAGAATTAATTTATAATATGTGCATACTTACATATAAATTATGTGCTTAGATTATAACACTTCCTGATCTCTTTGAATTTGACAACAATCGAGTTCACTCAACAACGAGCTAGCAGTGACCAACTGTCTAGACAAGATAATTCTTACCTAGCTCACATACCTACATGGCATTCGTCCAATTGGCTTCACTCGCCATTCTGTCAGAACGATTTGATTGTATTTGGGGACCCGTTACACAAGAATAATATAACTATTATTCATATTATACTCGGAACACACGAACAATGAGGGTTGGCAACTGTCAAGTTAAAAAATAAGTGTCCCAAACAAACGTTTATAGAATGTCAAAGGAGTTGACTACTGTCAAATTTGAAATTACACACCAATCAATAGCAATGACAGGACAATGAACTGTCTATTTATAGATTTCACTGCCCGGCCCTAATCCAAGATGCATGCTCATATTATCCACGTCAAATGAAATGTGTTGAACAATAAAAAGACATATTATTTCTTTAAAACGTCTCTGTGATTATAATTAAAAAAAAGTGGCTAAACTATTTCGCCCAAATAATTTGCTAAACATGATCGCTAAATATGGTTTTAATATTTGCTTTATAATTTGGAATACCGCATAAATTTCGATGAATTACTAATGTAACTCATCGAAATTTATAACTTAAAACGACTAAAGCGTTTTTATTATACTATTGTTTACATTTTAAAGTATCATGTTATTTGTTTTTTAATAATTCCAAACAACCACTTTGGTAATTAAATTTAACACGCGGTAAATCAACAATGGTAATTCCTACGATATAATTGATTTTATCATAAATACAGAATTAAATACTAAACAAAAGTCTTTGCCGCGACGAATAGTAAATAAGAGAAAATGACGAAATTAAAAATTTATTACGGCATTAATATACACGGTTTGATATACAATGTAAAGAAAACTGAGTACATGGTCTTTAAGGCGGGTACCAGGTGTCCAACATATATACCTCCTATTATGTTGGATAGTGTTCCAATTAGAAGAGTGCATCAATTTAAATACCTTGGTCACCTGGTGACCACTAGCCTTAGAGACGATGTAGATATGGAGAGGGAGCGTAGGGCTTTGTCGGTCCGAGCCAATATGTTGTCCCGCCGATTTGCGCGATGTACAGATGCAGTAAAAATAACACTATTTAAAGCGTATTGTACATCGTTGTATTCGGCGAGTCAGTGGTTCCAGTATACTCGGGGGACCTGCAATGCCTTGTGTATCCAATTTAATAATAGTTTCAGGTTACTGTTGCGGCTTCCGCGCTTCTGTAACGCCTCAGCGATGTTTGCCGACGCTCGCACAGATAGTTTTGACGCAGTCTGGCGAAAAAAGACAGCTTCGTTTTTACGTCGAATACGCGGGAGTAGCAACAGTATCCTGAACATGTTTGTTAATAAATTGGATAGTCCTCTCGTGAAAATGCTCTCCGAGAGGACTAGATCATTATTAGTAATTAAGTATTAACATAGTTTTTAAGTACACTTACTAACAAGAATGGATCCCAGTTATCTAAAAATAAATAAATAAATAGAAAAAAATTATAAAATTATCTTATAATAGACGAGAGATCAAAATGTCGCAATGCTCTTCATTTATAGTACGTATACAATCTTTTCACACAGTATAATGTATCAAAATCTATAACTTGCTACTAAACTAAGAAGCGACCAATGTTATATAATAACTGCTATCAGATCGGCTATAATTATGTAAACATAATGATAAATGTAATGATATGATAAGGTAAATCTAAAAATAATATTTAAATGGAATATGTAAAACACAAATATTGTAAGGTAAACGAACTATGTGTCATGCTTTCAGAAAACTCTTGGTGAGTCAACTTTGTCTCGATCATAATACCGATCAAAAATCACGTTACCTCACTAATTATTCATCACTAATCATGTATAGGGTTTTGAAATGTTATTTATTTCTTGTAGTAAATTCTTATACAGAATATTAATAAAATTTGGGTTGAAAACTAATTTTATATTTCGTTCGGTTTTAGTACTATCACAGTTTGAAAAATAACAAAATATAATCTCAATAAAAACAATAACACAATAATCCTTAATAATAAAATATTTGGGTGTATTACCTGCTTATCATATCTTTTTTCTATTTTAATTATTATCTATTTATCATATATTGTTAAACTTTGCATAATTTGCCTCTCATTATTGCATTTGGAAATACATATTGCTGTATTTGTTTATTCATTTTATAAACAGGAAAAATATTTAATTATCAAAATCGGTTCATAATTGACGAAAATATCGTGAAGTAATAACTTCCTTCTTTTTGAACATGCTTAACAAATATCAAACTGCTTCATAGATATGGATTTCTTATCTAAGACGATAAAATATATGTATAATAAAATAATATGATAAAAATATTTGTTTGCACATTTATTACGTACATTGCATCAATAATAATTAATTATGTATATAGTACATTTTTCTACTATTTGCTAATGATAAATGATAACAGGTGATTAAGATACAACAATACTGACATCAAAACTTGGTTTATCACAGCGCATTCTATTGTATTTAGTCATGGCCTCATGGTTCATAGTTGAGAGCAATAACGCTAAACGCTATTAAACTAAACGCTATTCTTTAGCTACTATTTTGAACAACATTGTTAATATCGGTACCACTACAATATTTAACCCACCCTTTATTTCAAATATTATCTCTTGTTTTAGGTACGTTCGGAAGAATCACTGCTTTCTCCGGACAATACATCGAAGAGTGCACGATGGGTACGTTCGCTTAGTATTTTTAGGTGGTGGGTAAATTACTATACACTACAAATTTATACCACATAAAGCTAAGCAATTTTGAGTTTGTTTGTTTGTTTAAGCTTTATTATATATTAAAATTACAAAGTACACAGACTGACTTATCCCTTGGACAGATTTGTTCCAATCAACTGTTGATTTTGTTATCCAAAGAACATGTAACTTACTTTATCAAAAACATTCCATGATAAGAATATATCCTTGATAAGAACCGCAACGTCGTGGTCTGTTAAATTTGATGAACATTTTAATGAAGCAAAATTCTTATTACTCTTTCTATTTCTGTGAAAAATTAAAACGTATAATTAAGCAAGCAAAACAGACTCCCATACTCCAATACAAAAATGGGGTAGATAGAACACGAAGAATTGTTTTAATTATTAATAATATAATATATAAATAAATGAATAAATAATAAATTTAACTTTAAAAAATTAGGTACAAATAAAAACTTAGAGGAAACTTTGGCAAACAATTGCATTTATACAAATAGTGTAGTGCCTACTCTTGTTTCTATACAAATAGATTGACCAAATGACCATTTTCACGGTCATGTATTTCGGAAAGAAGCGATTTGCTACGTTTTTTGTTTTTACTGGGTGAAGAACTGAGCAACATGCTGGTTGAAGACACTACAGACGTATGTACACAATTAGGATGCGTCACTTGACAAACAAACCGCGAACGGCCAGATAATGTTTTTGTATTTGTTCATTTTATGTATGTATATTTTATGGGGTAAATTCATGCTAACAGCTTAATTGTTTTACTTTTGAAATACATATATGTAGGTAATAATCGCGTTAAATTTCAACGGTAATTTGACCTGCCTTTGTTAAAGATATCATAAAACCCGAATATTTTTATTTTTCATATATTTCAAGGATATTGCATTAATACTTAAAAATAATGTAATTTAGTTATTGATCTCATGAAGTATCTAACATTTTTAATATATTAATTTAAAAACTACTCTACATTTTTGCCTACCCTAAAATTCTTTCGGTCAGACAATTCTGAAATTAACTATCAATAATATCTAATCCTATGAAGTAAATTTTGCTTAAGTAATAAAATTTATCATTTTACATATAAGTACATAAAACTTCGTTTGGAATATTCTCAGTATTTGCAATGTATACAGTCATTATAACACAAAGTAGCAAAATAACAGTTCTTTTATACTGTACACTTCGATACTACATATATAAACAGAAGCGCCGTCGTTCTCTATACACATTATGCTAATCAGTACATTCTGGTTTTCCCCAGTTGTTACAATTCTACAATATTTCTTCCAACGAACTCTTATTAGGCATGTTTTATACCTAAGCGTACGTATAATCAAGCATACCGTTTTCATGTTACAAATACTAAAAATGGCCAAATGTATTATGAAATGAAAGGAAAATTACTTTGTCATAAAAACATCAAAAATTATGTACATAAAAAACTAATAAATACATTTTCTCGTTTTAAAGAGATTATGATCGCATGATGATAGCTGGCTCTTTGATCCCAAATTCACGCCTTAGGATCAAATAGTCATCATCATCATTTTGATTAAAAAAAAGCTGCTTTGAAACCTTACGTCTTAGTGTAACATGATAATATTACAAAAAAAGATCTGTATATTATCTGTATATTCTTTATGTTATTAACGATTAAACAGTTTTCATTTTAAAAAATAGATGTAACTATGTATTGTCTGAAAAATAGAACATAATTAGCTAATTGAACGGAAATATAAAACCTAATATAGACATCTATCATATCATTAAAAAAACATACTACGGATGTAGACATAATAAAAATATATGTTTTATTAGTCATTTAAAACACTTCCTTCCATATTATGTTTAAATTGCAAGGCTCTAATTAAAATTACTATCACAATAGTGGTATTTGACTATTATGAGTTTATTTAATCAGTACGGAGATAATCTAATTTCTACATACAAAGATAAAGGTTCTGAATAACATACAGTAAGAACAAAATAATCTAAAATTTGAAATTGGCAATTTTTCTATATAAAACATAGATCACGTCCACGATATATTATTATGCCATGCACGTGCAAATTTAAAAGCGTCTCCATACAACGGCGTACATTTTACTTCCCTATCATATCACGATGGTAAAATCGTACAATCTCATGCCTGGTGTGGTAAATTATAAAAAAAAAATGCAAAGCCATTAAAATGACACAATTAAGAATATTAAAAAACGTTATAATACTCTTGTTATTATCCGCTCTAGTTTTACGATGCTCAAATAGCCTTCAATAATATGAACACTCAGGAAACACTTATCTAGAAGGCTTCTAATAGACATAATAGACGTATCAAACGTTATTCACGGATGAACATGTCGCTGTAGGTAGATACTTATTATCTGTTTACCAAATATGTCGCAGATTACTGTACAACCAGATCTCCATGTAAACAGTGTAAAGGAAACAAGGGATTTGCTTCTAGTTTGCAATTGTTACAAAATTTGTATGTACTACATCGCTTGTCAGTTGTTTAATTCTAATATAGACTATATGCTGGAGAACTACAAATTATGAAGATAAAAAATCCTACATATTTCTTCTATACAACCTACAAATTACTATGGGATCAATTCTGGGACAACATTCTTTAAACGTACCTCTAAAATTAAAACTTCGATTTAATATTACAACAAAATCTTTATTCTAATATAAGTACATTTTTAAAATACTTAAGGTTGATTGATTGAATTACTAACTACTAGCATAAAGTCTGCCTTTTGTACCAAATTTTCATTTGGTTAATAAAGCTATATAAATAAATAAAATAATAATTTTGAAATAGATTTAATGACGTCTCAGAATCGACTCCTAAATCTATTTATCATGAATTCACGTGCCTAGTGATGTAGAGAGAGGACCCAGTTCCAGAAGCCTCTATCTTTACATCACATTAATTTTACATGTAAAATATACCACCAACCATTCCGGATGCAGATATGCTATATATCTACAAAAAATCTCAAATCTGTCAAAACTTTAAAGTTAGAAAATAAATAATAAGTAAAAAAACGCATGGGAAATTGCGCGCGTTGCTATATTCAGAGGTAGTCATTCTTTAAATGATTTTTTTATGCAACTTAGAATGGTAAACAAGCTGACGGCCCACCTGATGGAATGTGGTTACCGTCGCTAATAAACATGAGCAATACCATGAACATAGCAGAATATATTGTTTCGTCCATGATACCTCCATGCGTTGCCATTCCTGAGGACTAAGGTGTTATGCCTCTGTACTCTGTCAATTCACTGCTATACTCTTCAAACCAAAAGACAGCCAGGCAAACACAACTGCTTCACGGTCGAAACACGAATGAGAATTAAAAATATAGACGGTTCAATTTGTGTATGTATATATATATTAATATACATACACATCGTTAGTATCCGTTTGCCACATGATGAGACCTGGCTAAACATCTGTGAAAATATTTTTAAATATTAACCCTGCACGTGCTATCTGATAGTATTCCTTTGTGTAATTGGGAACGCATTCGGCCCGAATAACTTAAAGATGCGGGTTTGCATCCTGTCAGATCAAGCTCTCATGTTTATCCAACTAGGGACATACCAAGCTAAACATACCTATTGTTCTTACAATTTTTAATAAAAATACTAGTATAATGTACAGCAACAAAGTTTAAAAAATCTAATTGAAAGACTTTTATGTGAATAATTCAATCTTGGCGATTTTTATTTATTTATTAGAGCAACAAGACATCCACTATAATTACAATTTTTATCTTATGCAAATAGTTCAGGTGTATAGTGTTAGCTTAATTACTGGTTGCCACGGCATGTATTAATTTTTCAGAAGAAAAGGAATATTCTTTATTTAGTTATTTTGGCCACATAACATAAAAAGATGACGTGCATAAATATATAGGTATGCTTGAAAATATGCTTATTTATTTCACATTAAAGGGATTGATTTCTTTTTATTAAATATTCCAAAATGGCAAACCAAATTTTTTTTTTACTACTGACAAGTGTACGGCGCGTCTGATGGTTAACATGATTACCGTAGCTTATGGTCACCAGGGATGTCACGTGCGCGTTGCGGTTCTTAAGAAACCTTAATACGCCTTTTTTAAAGAACCCCATGCTGTAGCCTCTAGGGCAAGCCGCGGCAGGAAGATCATTTCATAACCTGAGTTTTTGCAGAAAGAAGGAAAGAAGAAAAGATACCATTTATAAGTTCATGGAAGAATCTTTAGTCAAACAACTGTCTCCTATTTTCTAGGCTATTTAATTTAAAATAATTTAAACCTTAATTGAAGGAAAGCAGCTTCTTAATCATGCCATTAAACACATTTATTTTACTAGATGCAAATTTAAACTCTTTACAATTTCGAGATATAAAACACAGTAATTTAAATCTTTTTGTTACTATGTTATTAATATGTATCTTGAAACGAAACTTATTCAATCAACCTCAGTTAATACTGAATTACTTAATTTGTGTAATTTTTCGAATGAAATATCAGTGATATTTATATCAATGATATCAACTAAATTTAATATGTCATAGATATTGTTTCGAAATTGTACGATGATCATAATGCGGAGTATTTCATTTCCTTAACAAAAGATTAAAATTAATCTGAATTAAAATGCCATCACAATCAGTAATATACGATACGATAAAGTCTATAAATAATATATGAAAATTGTGGATAACAATTTATCACTGAGATAAGATGCACAAATAATGCATTCCTTTCAGTAATAAGTAGATAGATATGTACTGCTTTCAGTAATCTGTTATTAGTTAGGTATGACATAGAGATATTACTATCAATAACTACATTTTAGCCCGCTACTTCGTATACGTGGTTTTCAGAAATCAATCAATTAAATAGTCTACTTCTAGATGATGTACCAAAATAAAATTTGTACAAGTTAGAC